AACCCGTCCGGCTGCCTAACCGTTAGACTAGCAATCTCTTTTCTTAATTCTTTCCTTCTATATAATTCATGAGACTAGAAAATAAAAAAAACCGGTTCCCTTGTCATGTTCAACCAACAAAAAAAAAACCCTTAATCTTATTTGTTGGATTTAAATCCGTCCACAAAAATTGTATGAAGACGCCAGAACCTCAACTCTTTCGTTCATAAAACATTTCATCTTTGACAGGACACATTTACGAGAAACCTTGTCCATAATCAACTAGAATCTAATGGCGAGACAATCATCTTGATGACTTGTTTTGGGTTTTTTTAGTTTGAGTAAAGTGGAGCACATCGACATAATAATCATAGTGGTCATTTAGTGCTGGGAAAAAAGTAAGACAGACAGAAACAACAGAGCAAAGAAGTAGAACCTACCAAAGGTGCAGCCAAACAAACAACCATAGTTCAGAAATAAGAAAGACTCGATAACCAAGAATTTAAAAAGTTTTCGGGAGTTTTAAGTTTTAGTAGAGGTTGTACGGCGCTCACAACTGCATAAGGTCATATGAGTATGAGCGCCAGAAGAATAGAGGTAAGAGAGTAACAAACATAAAAAGAAGAAAGAAGAAGAAGAAGAAGAATTTGTATCGGGTAAACTCCCGCTCAATGTCCCCAGCAGACCTCATGGCATTCAGAAACTAGCTCAACTTCCTGGGAAGAATACAGTGCAAGCAGCCATAAGGACGATAGATGTTTGATAGGAAAGAAGAAGAAAACCACACTTGACACCAGCACCCGCCAACCACCCACTCGGGAGTTTTACAGCACTTGCAACACAGTAAGGTCATATAGGTGCCGAAGATTGGAGGTGTTACGAGAGAGTAACAAACACAAAAAAGGAGGAGCCAAAAGGACAACATATAGGCTACTTGATAAGAAAGGAGCAAACCACACCAGAGCACCCGCCACCCACCCACAAAACCAAGGATGCTCACTGTCCAAAAAGTCAATAGTTCAATAAAGATGTAATTATAATCAGCAGATCAGTTGTATGATTGGGCATTCTGCATAATTAATTCACTATACAACAGGTTTCTCGTTGGCTTTTGTATGCTGAATCTCCAAATGAAACTTGAAAGGCCTTGGGATCATGGAGAGCCAGATTAACTGGTCTTCCTTTTGTAAGAGTACAATGGTGATACGTCGGTCTGACTCTTCTTGCTCCGACTCAAATACATGCTTTCGATCCTCATTCTTAAGACACGGTTCTTCTTGTCATCTCTTTTAGTTTTAGTAGAGGTTTTACGGCGCTCGCAAATGCATAAGATCATATGAGCGCCAGAAGATTAGACTGAAGTGTTACAAGAGAGTAACAAATATAAAAAAGAAGAAGGGGAGATAAGGACGATAGATGTTTGATAGGAAAAAAGGAGCTAACCACACCAGATTGTCATCTCTGTTGTCAAATAGAGCACATAACATCATATTACAACAATGTATCACCTACAGTGCAGTCTTTCTTTAACGACATCGTAGGAACCAGAAAAAAAATGTCGTTGTATAGAGTTGTTGTTACAGAGAGGCAACGAAAAATTACTAATCTGGACCTGGGCACCAGGTCGCTATACAGAGGATGTCGCTGTATCAAAGGTCATTAGAGAGAAGCTGCACTGTATTAGAAGTGTCCCCTCCCCCCCTTGTGATTTTTTGGCTTACCTTTATTATTACTAGTATTTGGTGGGATAAGTGACAAGTAAATAGCTTCAAAATCTGGTCTTTCTACGTCATAAGACGTAAGAGTGAGAAAGGCCTATTTGTCCCACCTTTCAGCATAGCATGGGGGAGGTCAAGGTATTGGAAACAAAAGCTGAAAGAATACCAGTATTCTAATACTTACAATTAGAGATCATAAAGATTAGTATTTTTTATATTTAATATTCTCTTTCTTTTTACCAGCGTCAGTTGTTGTTGTTGTTATCGATCCAGCAATAGCTGGGTTCTCGCCCTTCTGTCCAATGCAATGTAGTGATAATTGCAGTTTTGCTGCAGTTGCTGTAATGTTCCATAGAGTGTGTTGTCAATGTTAGGTCTCGGAGGGAGAAGGGTGGAACCAGCGTCAGTACTGTGGTGGTTAGTAGATGCTCCACGGTTGCATGCAGAAGACATGGGTTTGATTGCCTTGAAAGGAGAATTTTTATAGAGTATCTTTGTCTTTTTTCTGCCAGGAAATTGTATCCCTCACAACCCAGGTTCGCCTTGATAAAACAGGTATATTAAAAATACCCCAATACAAAAAATGACAATGGACGTTCCGATAACATGACCATCGCCTTACAGCTAGACTCCAAAACTCAACCCAGTAACATAAAAACCCACACGCAATAACATGAGGCAGGTTGCTTACAAAAGTAAAACTTTATTAAAGCTAAGATTTTATATATATATAGATCTAGCACCTGTCTACTGGATTTTTTTTTCCAAAGTAGGAGCATGAAGGAGCCAGCATTACAAGTACAACTTTACCAAGGGATAGACAAAATGAATTTCAGTTGAAGTTTCAAAAAGTAAAAGGGGAAAAAAACAAAAACAATCAGAAGCATAAAACGTGTCAACATTTTTATTCACCTCAAATACCGGACAGCAAAGAAAGTATTGTAACACTAGTCCTTTACAATTCGACATACAAACTGTAACATTTGTAACAACAAAACATTCATGCTGGAAAACATAAACTAGCACAAGAGCACATAAATACATACATATATATATATAATGGTTTTTAAACAATCCTGAGCATCAAACTTCATTCAGACAGGCTAAAATAAAAATAAAAATTCTTCCATCAACTTGCAACTCTTATCAGGTACCGAGCACAATGAGGAACAAATCTCCTCGTATTCAAAAGTCAACACTGCTGTTATAGTCTACATGATGTATATCTTCCTGAATTCTTTCCAGGTTCTTTCTTTCCTACTGGGAAGTGAAAAACATACACTTCTTCATATCTTTACGCAATTCTTTGAGACAGTCAGGGCAACTATATTACTTTACAAACTAGTGTTAGGAGTTCAGTACACACAGAACAAAAAAAATTATTCAGGTAGCTGACAAGACTTGCTAATAATATGCACATTCTGTATGACACTATTCCGAATAAGAACATGTACTGAAATATAATATTCCATTACCAAAGCAAATGGCAGTTTTGGAAGGGAGGTCTGCCAGGACCCTTTCACCATGTGTGCATAACAGAGACACAGTATTGTACAATATAATATATGAACTTGGGCTCCATAATCAGAATACCGGTAAATAAAAACTATTTTGATATTGTAATTTTAATCTGAATACCGGTTAATAAAAACTATTTTGATATTGTCATTTTCATCATTCAGTGCAGATGAATTAGTGCAATCATGCAAAAGAAATAAGCTGAATTAGCAACCTCCAACCACTATGAACTGTCGTGAACGCTTTCCAACATATTTTGGAAAGGATGGGATTCAGTGTAAATAAAAAATGTAAAGAAAATCTATGCCTGATTTGATTTTCAAAATTTCTAAAATCAAACTTTGCTATCCTTCACAATGTCACAATAAACAAACTTCTGACATTCAACTTTGCCAGCCTTTCTATCATGACAAACTTACAATGACAGCTTTATCAACTATCAACACTAACATCATGACTAAGCAATGTACAAAAACTTTATAATATCTTAACAAAGAAAGTGTTTGTTTACATAAGCACCATTTGGAAAAAAAAAACAACACAATTTTGAGAAACTGGTGGGGTAGTGGTGATAATCAAACAAGGAATGACTTCAAGAACAAAGTTGAACCTAATCTAAGGGAGAGCACAAGAATGTCACTGCAGCTCTTGCAGGGAGAACACACCAAGCCACAAACAACTGCACCACAGTCAGTTTCACATATAGTAGATGCGAGACATTATTACTTGTATAATACTGTAGTAGCAGAATGTATTCATCAGGTGTCTTATTCATCACAACCATAACAAGTACATTTGTAGGAACACAGTCAAACTACAGTACTTTGGACTTGGTACTTAAGTTGTTTTCGAAGACAAGAGAGACAATTCAGGCACCCACACACAGCATAAAGGACCAGCAGCAGTATCTTGGTATGAACACAGTACAAAAAGAGAAAGGTAAGAAAACCAGAAGCACCAACATCAGAAAATAAAGACCACAACATATTGGACAAATGGGTGCCCCTTATGAGCACTTGCAGTCTTCTGAAAATTGTCTCATCAATCGCTACATTTCTCAGGAACCAGATAAGAACAATACTAACAATGGGGGGAAAAAAACAACAGAAGGGACAGATCACATAAGACAGTCCACTAGCCACCATTTGTATCTTCCAAACTACACCAGAATCTTAACTTTGACAGATCAAAATGTTTGATAATCGTTAAACTCTTATGGATCTGTCTGTTATCCTCCTCATGTTTTATGAAATTTAATTAAGTAGAAACATTCTCAGCATGGCAACTGGATAACATGAAATGTGAAACTGTCAAAACACTGTCAGTAAAGTGGTAACAGATCGGCATCTCATGAAAAGAATAAGAAAACTCCAAGAACATCCAGCACAGTGTATGACATAAAAATATATGATCTTTTGTGTAAAATACACACCATTCGCCCTTCCCTCTATGGAAAAGGACTGATTTAACTCGATCCCAACAAAATCCCCAAATATCACTGGTAATGCGCACCTGACTAAGTACTTAAATGGCCTGTCATCCTGCGGTTGTTTCTCTTTCACTATTGGCAACTGTTGGGATTGACCAGCTACTATCTATAAAGGAAAACTCATCAGCACAATATTCAGTTTTGAGAGATCCTAAGTTTTTCTACACAGCAACTACAGAGAAAGTTGAGGTCATTAGAATTTGAAGCTTTTTTCACCGATTCCTGGAACTACAGAGAGGTATCCGATCAGGCATGTTCTACTGCAATATAGATGTTTCATTTTATGTTGGACTTCACTCTTTGTCTTACAGTTGGGGAGTTGTTTTCAGAATGGAGCCTTAGGTAGGATTGGATAATTAATTAGGTTCACCAGGGATGTGCGCATGACAAAGGTACAAGAATCACCCCGAATTACAAGTTCTGTACACATTTACAAAGCTGAGGGACACAGAAACAACAGCAGTTTAAAAATTGCTTTAAAACCAATAAAACTGCATCCAAACATCTGGTTTTGGGTGCTCCGTGATGCAGTGAAACATCAGGTCCTCTTTCACTTACAATTACATCACTTGCAACATTCACAGGAATCACACGGTCAGAAAACTGACAAAACATCCATCTTTTCTTTCTTTTTAAAAAAGGAAGAATGTCTGAGAACTTGAATGTCAAATTACATCACAAGCTGAACACCACGCTCCTGGAAATATCATTCATCAGAACTCTGCACGAACCCATAAGTGGGGGAAAAAAAGAGATATATGTGCTGGTGAACACATCATAAATTTTACACCACAGGAAAAGCAACTAGACACATTCACACAAACATGGATCTGGTACTACCATTCGAGCCAACAGGAATCTCCTCGAGGAACATGAGTGACAAAGACTGAAAGCCGTCAACGGTGGACTCCGACCCGCAGCACGGTTACCTTTACCTAAGACGACATTCAGCGCCTGCAAAGAAAAATTGGAAAGTGCTTTAATATATCAGTTCAGTTGTATTTTAGTAAGAGTTTAACGGCACTTTTATCACAATAAGGTTGTATAAGTGCCGAAGATTAGAGGTGTTACAAGAGAGTAACAAACACAAAAAAGGAGGAGAAATCAGGACTACAGATGTTTGATAGAAAAGAAAGAGCAAACCAAACTAGAGCAACGGCAAACACTCACTAGTATTCCAGTCCTAAAACAATTGAAAATGAAATATGTAGCTGAAATTGTCTACTGCCATTCACTGAATCAATATTGAGAGTGGTATGCACAATAAATATCAAAGTAGTCTCAAACAAAAGGTAAATTTACAACCTCTCCAAGAATAACTAACTAAAGGTGCTGTGTGATTAACATTTTTATACTAAATAACCAAATGTTATTTACTTCAAGGACCATCAAACTCACATATTTAAAATTATTGTTGACAGCATTGCATTGCTCATAGGCCAAGACTATTCTCAACCCCCCAAAATGAAGAAGAAAACAACCACAAAACAAAATATGACCCAATAGCTTCATAGTCCACAAAAGGAAACTACCTGCTTCATTTCCTCATTTACCTACACAAACGGGGCTCAGAGATGATCTTGCTAGCTGCCTGTCTTCCAGTGAGACATAATCTTGAGGTACACAATTATATAACAAACTAATGACAGCCAGTTTGTCTTTTCCATTGTTTCAAAAATCTTTGTCATCAGTTCAAGAAAGATACGAAAGAAAGGGAGAACTCGGGCTGCAGATCAAAATTACTGAGGTCACATCCAGTCTCAGAAGCTAAACCTGACCAGTTCACAGACACGAAGCAGTAAAATTCATGTCTTTGTCCTTATAAAGTTTCAAGAAACAATATGTGTATAAAGGGGCCCCTGTTTCACCCAAAATGTTTAAAGACAATTCAATGTCTGTATGACCCACAAGCTTCCCATCACAGCACTGTAATACCTTGAAAGGGCATAAAATTGTGTTTATTCTCTTTTAATAAAATAAACCCTTGGCTACAAACATTTATTTATTGGAAGTGTTCAAATAAACCCTTGGCTACAAACATTTATTTATTGGAAGTGTTCATCCCCTACAAAAAAAAAAGAATTTTCCCTGACCCAATTAGCTAACTAAAATTTAAAATGCGACCGGTAATGAATTTTAAAAAACGAAGACCCAGGCTCAAAATGCTACACAGTACAAACTCCATAATCAGAAATCAACGCAGCCATCGGTTTATGCTCAACAAAACATCATACTATTCTTATATACATGAACTCGTCATTTGTAATTCAAACCTCGACCGTTTGGAGTCTGAATGGGAACGTCCAGATCGTGACCTTGACCTAGAACGTGACCTGGAACTGGAGCGCCCTCTTCTAGATCTTTTCGTTCCCTTCTCATGAGACCTGACACAGCGGACAGAGCATCATAATGATAATCACACATTTCAAATTAGTCAGTCATTTAGCATATTTGAAATGAGACAACTAAATGTGCAAGACACATAGGTGTACACAAATAATATGACATTCCCCCCCCCCCAAATAAAAAACGAACCACTCCAACGAAAGTCTTCGAGCCAAGACAACACCCATCCAACAATCCACTCAAGTGGAGAATCTAATCAGCAATGAAATAATCTTCCTTCCAATCCCACTATAAACATCTTAAGGGGCAAAATACGTGGAAATATTGCTAGAAAGAAAAAACCCAACTGGATTCTGATGAGAAAACTGAAAATGTTATCTTGGGCAGAAAACTCACGAATTATTGTAAAGTGTGACGTTAGAACACAAGTACCTAGTCTTTTTAGACAAGAGCAAATATCTCTAAGGTCCCATATGTTGTGGAAGTCAATGACACCTACAGTAAACTTGGCAACACAAATTGCAAACAAAAGCCAAAGCAAGCAACAACAAATTATAAAACAAAACAAACATTCTCATCCAACAGATGCTGCAACAAAGACACAACAGAGAACAGACAACAGATGATAAGTAGAGCCAAAGTTACACGCTCACATGTCATTCACCATGTTATTTATGTTCATATTTTTATAGTTAAGGGAACTAGCACTAAAATATCTCTCTGCATTTAGGGTAGAGATTCAGGCTGAGACAAGTTCCCTTTTGACTGATTAAAAATCATATTCAATTAAAACAGAGTATTTGGAATACATGAATACTTTGTTTCCTTCAGTCGACAGTTTTACTTACATCTCTCCATGCACTGCTTACACATTTTGTGATGAAACATCCTACAACAGCCTTATTTTTCCTTTCTCATAAACTATTAAACATTTATCAAGAGCAAAGAAACTTATCCAAAATGCTCAAAAGAGGGAGCGTTTCCTTTTTAAAACCTCTACTTTATTATCTTGCTATAGTCTTGCTATAGTAAATACTTTAAAAATAACTTTACTAAAAAAGGAAAGAAGTATACTGAAAAACCCAGTAAACAGCCATAAGATCAAGACGAGCCCAGAGGACAACAATAAATCTCACTTTAGAAAACACGAGATGAGAAGAATTTCACCTCGGAACACATCACGCTCCTCTTATTCACCAAAAGAACAATACCAATCCACAAAAACCCACTCAAGCGCCTACTTTGTGATCATCAATCATCCTTTGCTTATATATTCAATATCTGACCTTTAGCTTACTTTTGGAAAAATTTTTACAGCACTTGTAACACAAATAGGTAATGTAAGTGCCAAAGATAAGAGATGTTACTAGAGAGTAACATACAAAGAAAAGGAGAGAGAGATAACAAAGGTAGATGTTTGACAGGAAAGAAGGAGCAAACCACCTAAGTTTTTCCAATACTCCAACCTATAAGAAACCAAACAACAACCTCCTCCTTCCATCCCCACCCCCTCCTCTTTGACATAGCCCTATACAGCAGTAGGAAGCAATTTCTATTTTTTTTTTATAACCCTCCTTTAACGACAAAGCGTTTGGGCCTAATGGCACACACTGAAGGCTGCTGTATTCCTATTAACAAAAATTTCTCCTCATTCATATTACTCACATCACTCACATGATAATGGCTATAACATTTATATGTTTGAGAAGGCATAACAAAACTATTTGAAAGGTAACAAAAGAAAAGAGTCACGATGGCGAAAACACAAATAGTGACGTACGCAGCAATATGTGCACAAACAGAAAACAAAGAAGCAAAAAACTGATATTGACCTTGTGTGGGGTTACCTAGAGTTGTTACCAAATACCCTTCCGTTTTACCTGGACCGAGACCTAGAGCGTCTCTTTCTACTGTTGGAACGGGACCTCCGTCCGCTGCGAGATCTTGACCGCCCGCTGCGGGACCGAGACCGAGAGCTCGACACTCTGCCTCTAGATCCCGACCTTGACCTTGACCGAGAATCTGAACTTGAGCTTGATGAGCTAGAGCTAGAGGACCGGGATCTTGAGGACTTTGACGACCTGTCTGATTTCTTTACATTAGAAGAGGAATTGGAATCATTTGCTTTTTTCTTCTCCTCCTCCTCATCACTATCGTCCAACTGATATTTCGAGAGGTCCCCATCTTCATCTTCATCCTCCTGTAATACAAAGATGTAGGGTAACATCAATAGCAATGATCATAAATTACATTTGCATGGTAATGTGGTGAAATTTTGTTTTTTTTATTCACAATCTTCAACGTCAATTTAAAACACATTTCTGCGTAGATTTTTACTGAATTCGTTAGAGAATCATAAAAAATGTCAATTTTCCCTTTCCAAAGACTCTCAAGCTATATCAGTCGCCAAACTTTGGCGGCTATTTTCTCGCTAATTTTACCTGTAACACTATGATGTGACCCCACCTCCTGCAATCGCAAATATCTCGACATCTATTCAAGAAAAATGGGTAGTTTTTAAATCAAAAGCAAGAAAAATAAACAAGCTTTATGATGATAACAATAACTCCACATGCTAAAAAATTTACGAGTGCTTGTTCCCACCTCCGATGACACATTTATTATTTATCCCATTTCCACTAAGAAAGAGCTCATTGCCCTTTACAATAATACAAAGAAGAAAGTTCAATAGTGATCCTTTCACTCCCCCTCTCTCCCTCCTTCCCTACCTCTCTCTTTCTCTCCCTCCTTCCCTACCTCTCTCTCTCTCTCTCCCTCCTTCCCTACCTCTCTCTCTCTCTCCCTCCTTCCCTACCTCTCTCTCTCTCTCCCTCCCCCCCCCTCTCTCTCTCTCTCTCTCTCTCTCTCTCTCTCTCTCTCTCTCTCTCTCTCTCTCTCTCTCTCTCCCCCCCTCATTTATTTCTTTCTCACCCATCACTCCCTCTCTCTACAGTTTTACTAGCACATTGATCAAACATGCTTTTCAAACATGCCTAAAATCCCTCTAGATCATGACCTGGAACAAAAAAAATCTTGCTTTCATAGGACCACACACAAATCTGTTCTCTCTTTTCCAAGTCGCTGTCCAAACAACTGAAAACTGAAGTAATTTAGTTTCAGTTTTCGTAGAGGTTTTACGGCGCTCGCAACTGCATAAGGTCATATGAGCGCCAGAAGATTAGAGGTGTTACAAGAGAGTAACAAACCTAAAAAAGAACTAAAAAGAACAAGGGGAGATAAGGACGAAAGATGTTTGATAGGAAAGGAGCAAACTGCACCAGAGCACCCGCCAACCACCCAATGAAGTAATTACAATTCCCCAACCACTTGTATGGTAAGAATTACCAAGATAAGAATTTAAATTTGCAGAAAAGACGTCTGCATTAAAATACTATGCCCGTACAACAAGTGTGCATACAATGTTATCTACAAGTAAACAAATATATGACAAAATATTGATAAAAATGTGACACGTAAATACCTCATCAGAATCCAGTTTGTACTTTGAGACATCTTCATCTTCTTCCTCCTCCTCTTCTTCCTCATACACTTTTGACCTCGGAGGTTCCTCTTCTCTACCTTCAGTGCTGTTCCTTGAGCGGAATTTTTTCTTTTTTCGTCCGAACTTTTTTAACAAGGAAGTAAGAAAGAAAGAGAGATTTAAAACAAACAAATGAGACTGCTTGCAGCAAATCAGACCTAAGTATGAAAAGCCGAAATATATCAAAGCTCAGCCATAACATAAATATTGATCTGTCTATCCCATTTAAACAAAATAAGCTTTTAAATATGAATTATAGAAAAAAGATTACAGTGCAGCCTCAAAATAACGACTTTCGATATAACGACATCCTCTCTATAGAGACATAGTGCCCGAGTCCCGATTTTTTCCTTATATTCATTAGTACTTTTTGGTTGCCTCTCTATAACAACTCTCTATAACGACATTTTTTTTCTGGGCCCGATAATTCGTTATAGAGAGGCTGCACTGTATTCTTGTTAGACAAGGAAAGAGGTTTTTAATTCCTATCTGCAAGAACAGCAAGTTTAACCCTTCCACCAGAACGACACAGAGTGTGTCTTTTCACCTCCACTAATCAAATACACTTTCACTCAGTCCTCAAAAATCCATGTTGATAAGTTAAAAATAGAAATGACACTTTTTTGGGAGGTATCACCAACAATTTTCAATTTAAAGAATTCGAGTCACTTTCCAGTCAAGATTGCTAATCAAATTCCTCTACAACACCTGCTTTTTCTGCATTCAATCTCAGCCTTCACTTCAGCAGTGTTGCCATTGAAATGTTAATTTTATGGCATGATGAACGAGATGTATCTTGATCTAAAGTTGTCGGTGATACAAAAACTTAAAAACCACACCTGCCACTCTATGAAATCTAAAAATCAGGATCTCAGGGGGGAAAAAATCGGGACTTTGTGAAAAAAATCAGGATCAAGAAACAAGCCGACTGCCAAGCCGACTTAAAAATTGTCCAGGGGTGTCCGTAAATATATGCACTCTGTGTGTGTGAGTTTGTGTGTGTTTGTATTATCATTATCATTTTCTAAATCCTGACGCATCACGTCAAGCACTGTAAGTCAAGTGTCTACCACCCCACCCACCCCAAAACAGCAAGTCCCGAATAACACTTCAACCAGTGTTCACGAACTTAATTTGACCCCGTCAACGGATTGTCCCCGACACACGCGGAACTCACACACCAAAGTCATGTTGCGGGATGCGAATGCGCAATTGAAACAGTTTTACCGACAGGCTCGACTTATACCGGGTGCCCATTGCAGATGGGACCGGGTCGGGTCGGAACGGGATGATCACCCGACTCGTCGTCTGAAAACAAACGCGTTTGTTTCGTGGGCGACAAGTCGGGCGCGATCGGTTTGTGCCACGATAGCCACTTTACGCCCTCAATCAGGCTAGCAAACCGACCCGACCCAACCTGATCCCCTAACGGGCACCCAAACTCTCGAGCAACAGTCGTTCTAGGGTAACGACAACGGCCAACCGACCAAATGTACCAACAAATCTCTTATCCCTCATATGTTTTTAGACCAAAGCAACGACAACGACTGAGGGTAAGTCTTGTCAGCCCAGTTACAGTATAATCCACTTATATCAACATCCGATTTATCGACATTTTAACATATCGACATATTTTCCAATTACGAAATTTTTCCTAACAATTTCCTTTATATCAACTTTTTTTTCGGCTCACTCTGCTTTATCGACATGCTTCCTGCGTATCTGGAGAAGCCCACGAACATAAATGGGGGGAAAAGCCATGCTAACGGTCAACGCATTAGTTCTTCATTAAGTCCGCATTCCCCAAAGTAACCTATATTGACATACCAGACTTTAGAAGGTCATGTAAGGCCTACACAGTGTAGTCTCCAACATAGTATAGTGCCTCACAGACGTGAGCGTCTGTCTCGCGTGCTGGGCATCACCTCCCTATCCCCACTCCCGATCGCTCACTCCCCTTCCCCCTGAGGGAAAACAGAGTTCATGTATCTTTCATACTTACTTCATCGTACTCATCATCCTCAGAATCCTCTTTCTGTTTGTACTCCACCACCTCATCCCTCTCCATGTAGCCACCACCAAAGCCTGTGCGCTGCTCCACCCGCCCGTACTTCGGGGCATTGCACATGTTGCAGGTCATTCGACGAGCCCAGTTTACATTGCCGCAGCTGGGGAAAAGGAAGTATCACTTTGTAAAGGAAAAAAAATACACCATTAGTGTTATAATATAATATAATTTGAATTAACCTTTTAGAGGCAGTAACATACTGTTTCCTGGTTCATTCTGAAATTTGCATCACACATATTTTCATGAAAGACAGAAACATTTGACATACAGAAAACTATGATTTAAAATATATAAATTTTGAGCATTTTCAATAGTTTAAAAAGTTAGCAATGAGATACACACACACACTTTTAGGCCAACTACTCTGCAACTATATCAGGCTATGAACACAACACTATGTGCAGAAATACTAACAAGCCTTAAGCAGTGTTGGCAGCTTGAATTGCAACACCAGCGACATAAAAAGATAAGAAAAGTAAAGTCAGATCACAAAAAAGAACAAATCTAAGCAAAAATGATACTGCCATTCACAAGTAAATCCAGGTGAACAAGTTTCACTTTCAACCCTTTTAGTCATAGTTTAGGCATGCCTTATCATAACAAAGCATAATATGGATTAAAATGATGTTATTTAATGACTTTGCCTCAACAACTTAAGAATCTTTCTGAAAATCACCTAAATGGATCAATGGTATCAAAGATCATAGGGCATGTGACCAAAAAAACTCTCAAACTACAATTTTTGGGGATGTAACATAACTTTTTGCCTTCCCCTTAACAACCCCCCTTCCTGCGCCTAATCCAAAAAAAAAAAACAGCTTCAAGCAAACCCCCTTTTCTACATCTTTTGCAAACATTGTTTAAATCTTCTTAAAATCATATACCCTCTACACATTCACAAATCCCCCAATCATCCTACAGACATTATAATACTCTTGTCCAAGTAATCAATATAAAAAAAGAGACGACTTATTTTGATATGACAAGACAGCAAAATAAAAAAAAATGACACAAATTTCACAATCAAGGTACTTGTCACAAATACATTTTTCCTCGCTAAGGGCCCGGTGAATCCACCTACCTCTTACACTGCCAGTCCTCAGCACTGAATAAGCCTTTACTTTTTTCAGCCAGTTGTTTACCAATTTCAGTGCCTCCTTTTTTGAAGACTGTCCCTTCTTTTCGATCTTAGTGAAGATAAGATAAAAATATAAATCATAAATATTAAAGGAATAACATTTTAAGACATATGTTCAACCTTTCAAACATTAATTATAGGTACAATACGATCTATTAACCTTGTTCAGCGCTAAGCACTGATCGTCATACACTCGTCAAGAAGCATACATTATTATCATTGTGATTTGGTAGCTGAAACAATCAAATACCACCAGCTGTATCACTGTGTAAATGAATAGAAAGAATAACCCTGAATGGGCCAGTTTTATAATACAGACACTCTGACCAATTGAGAGGAAAGGGACTAAGATATTGTATCCGTTAATAAACCACTTAGTGATTGACCCATTCCACACAGCATGCCTGCCTAAGAAAATGTGTAAGTGTACATCATGTAGTGTGCCGATATCATTATCCACTAGTCTATGCTAACCCACTTTCCTAATTTAATCCCCAACTCTCTCAAAGTATGATAGAGTGTGGAGAGTAGTTCAGAAAAGCTTACATAGTGCTCAATGACTGAGCTCAAACTGGGTTCTAAGGGGGTTTAACCATCCCTCAATGTATACAAATAAAAATTTGACACAAAATACCAAAATCCAAAGAAACAGGAAAATGGCATGTTAATTATCTTCTTTTTTTTAAATAGTAGAGGGCTTTACGGCGTTCACAACTGCATAAGGTCATATGAGCGCCATGTTAATAATCAATTTTTGTTATAAATGGCAAATAGTCTGCAAAACTATGACAAAGAATTTTAAATCTAGGATATTTCAGCACTTTGCAAACAAGACAACAACAAAATTTGTTTAAGACACAAAACATAAAATAAATATATATCAAAAGCAAAAAACATTGTATGTGTCATGACGCCATGGAATCAGGTGCTCTGTCAATTTTTGGGCATGTGGGGTTATTGGTATCATATAAGAAAGCTTATCCCTTTGCCTTACTTTCACTTTCACTGAAAAAAATACCAGGTATCTTCAAAAATAAAGTCGAGATATTTGTTATTGAAGGCGATGGCGTCGCTTGGTTTCAATGGTAAAATTAGCAAGTAAATGGCCGCCAAAGTTTGATGATTTCAATAGCTTGAGAGTCCTTGAAAACGATAAAATTATATATATTGTGTCTTTAATAAATGTTTTTCGATAGAATTCATATGGCAATAAGTTTTTATATAAGAAAAGTGTTGAGAAAAAGAAACAAAATTCAACATAAACTGCTAAACTGGCGAAAAAATGCCAATTTCTGTATTTTGATGAGCGCCTGATTTCACCATGCTGCCTCACATGTGTCCTCACCATACTAGTCAAACCTTTACGTTCTTTACCATTTTTTGTCATTTGGTGAGAGAAAATGTGAGGCAAAGTGGTGAAATTAGGCGCTCGTCAATATATTTAGAAAGTGAAGAGACCGACATTTTAATTTTTCCACAGGTGCGGGAATTTTTATCACATTTTTTATTTTCACCTCAACACCTTTCATGTCCATTTAAAGAACACATTGGGGGCTCTCGTGGCCAAGACGTTAAAGTATTCGCCAAAGGTCCCGGGTTCGAACCTGGGTACAGATGGAAAAATTTTCTTCTCTACAAATTGTCTCCTTTCACCTCCTTTCCTGCTCTCTAACAATGTTCTGTCGTCTGCTTTCATCTCCACTTTCTGCCCCCACCCCGTCACCTCCTTTGCCCCCTCCTCTGGGCTCCTGACTCTTTCTGCAGCCTTTCTACTGCTACTCCTTGTCTCCTTCTTACTGCTGCTTTTCTTTCAGCCACACCCCTGATCTTCTGGAAGGAAAGACCAACACACACCTAGCCTTCTCAGACAAGGGCGAAAAATCTCGGAGGTCCCATGTGCAAGTTGTGCGCGTTAAAGATCCCTTGGTGGTCTAAAATCGATAAGAGTAGACTTCGGCCGCCACCGGGGCAAAATTCAAAATTTCCTACAAACTGAAAATGTTTGGTGTGTCCCACGTGCTCATATGACCTTATAATGCAGTTGCGAGAAATAATAATTTAATTTTGACGGCCATTTTCTCGCCATTTTTTTACCTCTGAAACCAGGCGACTCCCACCTATTTCAATCTCCAATATCTCGACTTGTATTCAAGATACATGTTGGGTTTTTTTTCATCCAAAGCAAGACAAATGAGCAAACTTTAAGATGATACCACAATATCTTCACATGCCCAAAAATTGATGAGTGCCCGGTTCCACCGCGTCCTTACATAAATGTCTACGGAGATCTACAGAGATGAATTCTTCATTGTCCACAACCATTCTAATACAGTAGGGTTGGGTCGGGCTTGCAAAATTAGCGTCCGCGAATAACGAACTACCCGCTGGCATTACCCGCAAACGAGCAGAAGGGTAACGAACCGTCCGTTTGTGAAGAGTAGTTCGCTACTCGCTACACATCGGACAGAGACAACAGTTCGTTTAGCGAGCGAGCGGACGGGCCCACTGAGAGACTCCATGCATTCGAGCGGGCGGGCGGACGGACTGGAACGACTCCTTCCATTGCCTACAACTTTTAAACCCCCCGCCCCCCCCTAAAAAAAATAATTAAAAAATCACCTTCCTGCCTCACATTGTAGCTAGGGTGTTCATGACGGAAATTTCCGCACCCCCCCCCCTCCCCCGGCCTTTGAGATAATTGGAACGTACACAGTGTGCCCCACGCACGAGGTGAAAGGTTACACACATAGTACTACGTGACCAGCCTCTCTCACTCCCTGTGGCACCGCTAGTGGTTTGAAACATCAAGCCTAATTAACAAACAACAGACGACGGGTCTAATCTCGCGTCGAGTATCTCGTCTGCTAGAGTTCGTCCGTTCGCCCGCCCGCCCAGTGAATAAAATTGTGGAGCGGACCCAAAAAACGAACTGACTTGAGGCTTGAGGCTTGAGGTCCGCAGTCCGCTCGCTGAGAGAGTCAAATTGTGGAGCGGACCCAAAAAACTAACTGTCTTGAGGTTCGCAGTTCGCTCTCATGGCCGTCCGTTACCCGTTAGCTCTGACTGAGTCCGCGAGTAGCGAACCCGTCCGTCCGCTCGCCCCAACCCTATAATACCGTATTACTCAGAAAGAGTACCCATACCATTACATTTGAGATTGTTTGGGTCATTTTTCCTTCATTTTACCAAATCAATTAACTTGTGTTTCTTAAGAAGAAAAGGTTTACTTTTTCCACATTTGTTGCACTCTGGTCTTCTTGCAAAGTTCACATTCCCACACCTGAAAAAAAAAAAGTGAATATTGAATACATAACAATAAAAATAAAGTTTACATGATTTAATTTGGAAAACATAGCAGAATCAACAAGTTGTCAATTTCATATTCATCTATCATTATGTCAGTCCCTTCAATGGATGATGAAACAGTCATGTTGCTCAGGTCGCTCCCAATGCTTACGCGAGTTGACCAATGGGTAGCAATAAATTTTCAGCAGCTGATAAGGGAAGCGCGTGATCCGTCATAAGCTAAAAGCCCTGCCCTCAACTCAGTCCTAAACCCGGTCCATAACAATGGAAGTCAACACAAACTCGCAACAGAAGTGTCGCTCGTTCGCCGAGTGGTGGCGACCCGATTCTTTGTTTTACTATGGCACTTGGTCTTTCTCGTCTGACACATTTCCTTTTGTTTTGACCATTCATGGAACTAAATCTTTTTTTAACCTTACCAGTACAACGTCGGGTCAAAATGACCCAACCACTGTATTATTTACAATATCTTTAAAAAAAACTAATAGCCTTAACAAATTGTTCTTTTGGTTAGTTATGTTTTTGTCAACCATTTTTACAAATAATATCGCAATTTGACATGCTTCAGACAAAATCAAGCAGAAAAAATTTGACGCGTGTAAAGATGTCACTATGCTTGAACAGGGTCAGGTCATTTTGACCTATAGTCATCTCAGTGCTAAGAACATGAATATGTTTCCATCGAAGCTTGTTTTTGATCTCCAGTCTGGTGAAACAATTGTCAGGTGTGCATTCACTCGCAACCACATTTTGAAACTTTGAAACTGTCTTCGATTTGATGACAAATCTTCCAGAGATCAAAGACCAGAACATGATCTATTTGCCCCAATTCGTGACTTGTGGGAGAAATTTCTTACGACTCTACAAAGGCACTATGTTCCAGGCTTGTCGGTAACAGAAGATACTAGTTCCTTGGAGAGGCAGGTGTACTTTCTTACAGTACCTAGCTTCCAAGCCTGAAAAGTATGGTTTGAAAATCTTCTGGGTTGTACTCGTAGACTCTGAGACATTTTTTTTTACACCAGTGCAGTGTTATTAAAAGTCTAATTTGTTACGGAACTAAATTACCCCCCTACTTTTCCTCCCAACACCATTCCTTTGTTTTTGAAATACTAATTGAAACTTAAATTGTGTCTCTTTATGGCTCTCTACTATGTCAACTTTACACACATGATAACATTCAGAGAAATATTTCCTCTTTGAAGGTATATATGGGCATATGGGTCAAAATGACCCGAAAATGTACTCGAATAAAGTCAAACGACCTGGTACTGGTAGGGTCAAAATATCAATAATGAAATTAACAACAAAAAGTCCAACAAAAACTGTCAGGTAAGCTTTATATATATCCTCTCCCCCCTTTCAAAAGAAAAAAAATAACAAAACCAAAAAACCCATTTTTATGAGCCCAACCGCAGTCCTAAGCCTGCGACCACCCCCATTTGAGAACTTAGAAGTCTCGTAATAATATAAATGGTTTGTTTTCTTTTTCTTTTTTATCCATTTGATCCTCCATATGACGGCCACCTGCCTTACAGCCACTTTTCTCCTCGACAATGCGTGGCTGTCTTAAACACAGGTTCGACTGTATATTAAAAATTAATTTAATAAATCACAAAAGTTAGATTTATAAAGTCTCATAAACTTAAGACCTATATGATCTAACATATTAACGAACTGTCGAACAGGTTCCATAATCCTTGACGATCGTAGGGGCGCTGTATGATATGATAGAGAGCCTCATCATGGGCCTCCACTTTAAACTGATTGCCAAATTTGAATAGAATGCTTTAACTCTTTATCTCCTACAAGCCGCTCCCAGCAGCTCACGGTCGGAACGCCAGTGTCGGTGAGCCGCTGACGGCTCGGGCACATTCCTTTACAACGACTTCGACATCAAATTTCGGCAATTGACAAAAATAGGTCTCTTATACCTGAAGTTCATTCATTAGATGAAGAACTATCAAAATAGGTTTGCTAGTTTTGATTTAATGACCCATTTAATGACAATTTTGTCATTTTTAGATTTAGCACCAAAAAAGGGCCCTGGCGTAGTGGGTTTACCGCCCTCGGAGATAAAGTGTTAATTCAATTTAAACTTGATTTTTAAATAATAATTACAAAAGCCCATTTTTTAAAAAGCACCATGATTTTAATTAAAATGACAGGGAAAAGTTCTATTTTATCAATGCTGTAAAAAGTTGTGTAAAGTGTATAGATATAGGCCTACTGAAATCAAATACAAACTAAAATATTGAACTTTGTTTTTAAAAAAATGAAGATTTTAATAATTCGACATGATTTTATTCCTGAACATAAAGAGTAAAATCTTAGTCTTAGGCATTGTTTCAAATATAGACAAAGTGTTTCATTCACGAAAAAACACTTGAAATATTACTGCTGATTTTAAACTGAAAAATAGCAGATATTGCCGCCTCCAACTCTCTTCCACTTCCAGTTCCCCAATGTTTGGTTCCAATTTTAAATCAATTGCCTGATTTGTTGAGAGGCGAAAGAACGGCAGACAGCATATCTCTCGCCCTCTTTTGATATAACATCGATACGTTGCCCAAGGCAGAGTTGAAAATGCGTTCCAAAAATTTCGTAATTATTGGTCAAATAAAAAATTTAATAAGATTTTCGTGATCAGTGACCCAAAATAACATAGTTGCTGGATTACCAAGATAATTTTTTGGGTGTATTTTGTCTAGGACTGACACTTTAGGATAAAAAACTGTACGTCTAATTTATGGAACTCTCATCGACAAACTTTCAGTTCAACGATGACCCAGATCTAGTATCTGTCGGTCAAACTGTCAGTCTGTCGATGAATTAAAACTGTACGTGTAAAGGGTAGAGCTGGATCCTGCTCGCCAAATCTGAGAGTGGCGATTCGCGATTCAGTCGGCTTCTAAGAATCAGGAGTTTGCGAGCCCTCGTGGATCACTTTATCTAACTGAAACGGAACAGTCAGTGTCATATCAACGCCACTTTGCGAGCACAAGTTACACTCTTGTTGTCCCGCAGCCCGCAATCCTCTCCACCCCCACCCAAGTTGTACTGCTCGGCGGCACGATCCCTTCTGTCCATTGGTTGGAATCCGTTCATTTTGTTTTATAGGGGGGTTGGACTAGATAGAGGCCTACCATCTTAAATTGTAAAATAAGGGGAGCCGTGCCAAGTGTTTCGCTCCGTTCTTGCGCTCACGACATACGAGTAGCACTAGATCAAGGCTTTAGAGATCAGATAGAGCTACAAACAAGCTGCATGGTGGTGACAGCGACAGGGGAGTGAATTGGAAGGCAGTGACTGAGTGAGTAGGCCCTACTGGCGTTCCGCTGAAGTGAATCGCGTTCCGCTGAAGTGAATCGCGTTCCGCAGGGAAGAGTGGCGATTCAGTTCCGTTTTCGCGCTTGCGACCCAACACTAGTAAAGGGACCCTCAATAGATTTAGAAACTCTAGTTTTAGTGCCCATCATGTAGATCTAGATCTATGATTTGCACTGCGGGAGTGTATACAGACCCGGTAACCAGGAACAAAGTCACAAAGTATACACAGACCCGGTAGGGGAACTCTTTTGAGATTTCGGAAAGTTTCAGCGCCTCTTGGCTCAGGGTAGACCTAGCTTCTTCTAGATCTATGGCCCAGGTCTAGATCTAGATAAACAGACATTTAAAATCATTGATCTAGTTTCGAGGCTAGCCTAGATCTAGATTCTAGATCTTTAATGAAGATTTCGGATGTCTTTTCGATGAACGATCGTTTTTCGGCACTAGTCGAGTTGTGATGTCCCGACTCAGGGGGCTGCCATTTTGGCTAAATCTGTCAGGGGATCTCCAGATTGGGCGCGCATTTTCGGCAGTTCCCACCCCGTTTATTTGAGCCTTGATCTAGATCTATTATAGGCTATGTTTGATGCTCGATGAGCGAGAGATATCAAACCTATCTGCAAAACATCATTTTATGATAAAAAATTCAGGGGGGCAGGCCCCCCTGAACCCCCCTCTATAACTATATTTTTATTTCGTCAGGGGGGCAAGAAACCCCCCAAGCCTACTCTCGGGGCCAAAACCGGCGAAAAACCGCCTTCTTCTTCTCGATCGCATCACACTTGAAGTCCGGTATCTCTGTCATAAATTGGGCCGTCCTAGTCAGTTCATCTGGCGGCCCGTATAGCTTCTCTTGTAGCGTCAGTGGGGTTGGCCACGTTTCCTGTCTCAGGGCCCTGTGTGTCTTGCAGTGCTGAAGGATGTGTTCAACAGTTTGGTCCGCCTCTCCACACTGGCATTTTGGTGATTGTACCTCTAGTTTAAAACATTTGTACATATGCTGTCTCAGTCTTGTGTGTTGTGTCCTTAGTCTGAAGATAATCACTTGTTCTTGGCGGGACAGCTCATGGTAGCCATCTGGTGTCTGAGGTGCTTTAAATAGTGTATTTATAAACCGCCCAATCTGGAGATTCCCTGACTGATTTTGCCAAAATGGCCGTCCCCTGGGCCGGGACATCACAAGTCGACTAGTCCCCGTTTTTCCTCCGTTTTGGAGTTGGAGGAATCACAATTTGAAGAAAAGAACAATGTCATAATTTCAATCGAGCAGTCACCCTCTCTATTTCTCTCTCTTTCTCTCTTTCTCTGTGTGTGTGTGTGTGTGTGTGTCGCTCGCATTCTCTTTTTCTTTGTTTGTCTCTGTCTTTCTTTCTCTCCACCTATTTCCCACTCTATCTTTCTCTCGTTCCCTCCTACCAACTGGGGCATGTCATGTCATATATATATATACATTTTGCTAGCACTTCTCTCCTCTCTCTCTCACACACACACACACTACCGGGTCTGGGCGCTGAAACTTTCGAAATCACAAAATAAGAGTTCCCCTACCGGGTCTGTATACTTCGTGACTTGGTTCCCGGTTACCGGGTCTGTATACACTTCGTTGCACTGCAGCCCAAAACACAGCCGTAACGACCCTCAATCCTCAACAAACGCAGTAAAATTTTACCTTTCTCCAGGCCCTTTGCCTTTATAACTTTTTAAAGTTTTGGACAGTTCTTATTTATTGATATAGACTATAGATATCTAGATCTAGAGATCTATATTCTAGATAGAATCTAGATCTAGATATAGATCTAGAGATCTATATATCTAAATCTAGATTTAGATCTATATCTAGATCTAGATCTAATTATTCCTCAAAATTCTTGCTCTTACTTGGGATCCGAACAGATCCAGTCCCCTTCATTGGGCTTGAATCGCTCTTTGGATGTCATTTCGATCTTGGAAGTCTGGCTGATGCTGAAACTTCTACTTTGTCTACACAGCTTTCCAGCTCTCAAGTAAAGTTCCAGCAGTAATACCAAACCAAGGTTGCCTCCACACGTCTGAATGACTGATGCTAACGCAGAACCTTCAGTAAATTCAGTTACTTTCAATTCTAGCCTCGGCCTATGTCACTGTCAATGTTAGGCCTACGGCTACGACGGTAAACCAAGGCCTAGGCTAGTGTTGTCACACTGTGTGTGTCTGGTTTGGATTGGAATTGGAATGATGAGCTTCCTTTGAGCAACCGAAAAAGCTGGATTGGATCTGCTTGAAGTGAACCAATTTTGTGGGGAAGCAAGGACAGGGGTCAATGACACAGGTCCAAAATGTATCGTCAATCATGAAATTATATTGTTTACATTCCATACTTGTGCATTGTCCAGAGTTTTTTCTACCCCCCCCCCCCTTCCTTGAGAGATATTGATCTTAAGGCAAGGAATCCTCTCGTAATCAGTAAGAACTTTTTCTCTACCGCAACTGCTTTGAAAACTGTAGGCTAGGGCACGAGCGTGGTCTACTGCACTGGAAATTACTGCGCAGGACCTGATGTTTTGGATGCCTTGGACCTGACACTCGAGCGACAGGCAGGAAATTCACGACCGGGCACGTTGTGAGCGTAGGCTAGCCTAGGCTACGTGAAACATAATATCGCCTCAAATCGTGCACGCCCCCAGAACACGCTGACCGGAATTTCACGCCCGGATCTCGCCCGGCGTGTCGACGAAGCATTGTTGAACAGCGGCCACACGAGCGACACATTCCTGCCGCGTGCATTGCTTTCCCCCTCAGAACGTCACCTCGCGAGGTCACACGTACGACGTGTGTTGTTTTTCACCAAACAAGCGTGTAGTCTACAAAATGGCATACTTTCATGATACTGAATTGCTCATCCTTGAAATACGAAAGCGACCTGTGATCTGGAATTGCTCTTTAGATGATTATAAAAATAAGATAAAGAAGAACGATGCTTGGGCTGGAGTTTGTAGAGCTCTTCAACCAAATTTTGACGCACAGGACGATGTGACGAAGAAACAGACAAGTAAGTAATTTTTTTCAACTTTCAAAGCACTTTATTTTATTAAAAGTGTTAAGACATTTGTGTGAGTTTGTTTGCTTGGAGACCGTTCACAAATGACATCAGCTTAAATATGGAAAAAATTACACCCCCCCCCCCCCTACCCCTTATCATCTTCTGGCATCTTTCCCAGGGACCCCCGGCCCCAATTGACGTCAAACAAAATGTAGGCCTACATAATGTATACCTACATTTAGATAGAACCTGTACAAGATGCACTTTATATTTCCACATTTTATCTTTATTTTAAATCTTATAAATAAAACTATTGTTTATTAATTAAAACTCAGTCCTAGTACCGTCGGCGACTTAAGTCGCCAAGCCGGTATGTATATGCGCCAATACCGCTGGCGACTTTAGTCGCCGACTCGACCAGGCACACTGAAAATACATGTATTTAAACAATGAATGGACGCACTGCACGGAAGTAAATATCGAAGCAAGTCACTCTGTATGAAGCTGAATGGTTGGTGAACCTCTATGAGTTTTTAATCTTTCTTGGGCTGCCAATGTTCTTCTTTTTTTTTTTTACCACGACTTCAGAGCATTCTAAACTGGTGTGGTACTTGAGGGTTTTTCAATGAGCTTTCAGTATTGTAAGTACTAAAGAATATTTAGTAACAGCTTTAACCAGTCAAAAAAAATAAAACAAATAGATTGGATATCACAGCTTGGAAAATAAACAAAACCAAAAGATTGGAGTATCATCTCAGCTTGGAAAAAATAAATATTATTAAATAAATCAGAACAAAAAATATTTATAATTATGCATGGCATGCATTATTTTTGGCAATATGAAAATGAACGATTTAAAAAAGTTATGTAGTAATTTTAAACAAATTTTCACCCCCAGTGGGCCGTGGGGATATAAACAGACCCACTGCTTCGTCTGCAGGAGGTGCAATCCCTTCGAAGACGAGATGTCGCAAACAGACTCCAACCCTCTGGGATCCGGTGCGACACCTACTTTGGTGTATCTTCCTCGTCTCCTTCCTTCTTTCTTTCTTCTTCTATCTTTTCTCCCACCGCTGACCTCATGTGCAGCAAAAAGAGAGGTCCTCATCCCACAGAGTGGGCGCCTTGTTGACCGTGAGGTGCGACCCGTGCGGATGGAAACCGGGTACTTGGCGGTTGAGGTGAGATCAGTCTACGGACTGTCCCTCGCCAACACACCTCTTTGGCCCAGGTTTTCCTCTTAGACGGGAGGGTGGCACGGCCCATGCCACTCAATCGGTTGAGAGCTGAAACCCCTTCAAGCCCTGGGTCAATCTTGGCGGGAGGGTCTTGTACTTTCTCGTGAAGAGTATAGCTCCGGGGTAGCCCTGGCACAGCTCTGGTCATCCGAGCAATGTGTCCCCTTGTTGGGCTCCGTGGCAGGCGGGGAGCCCCGGAGTCGAAACACCAGCCAAACTCTTATGGATACTACTAAAACCCGAAAAGACCCTTCCCCAGTTCCCAATGTAAAGAAGTCTCGGTTCGCGGAAGTGGGTGCGCCGCCGGACCAAGCAAACCATCTATCTCCAAAGGAAAAAGGACCTTTACGTCTGCCTCTTTTCTCCCTTCTCCCAGGGAGCTTCCGAAGCAGCCGTACGTGGCCATCAGCAGCAATGAAGACACACAGACACTGATCTGAATCTGTTCAAGACGGGAGATGCACTACGACAAGTTCTGGGATACATTCCTACGAATGTCCAGAAGCTGTCCCCTGGTGTACTCCTCGTCAAGTGCGCAACAGAGACTGACGTGGTCAAACTTCTGAACATCACGACCTTCGGCCGTGTACTTCCGAACGATACCAGAAGTTGAACTGCTCAAAGGGCGTCGTCCGCAGCCATGAACTAAAGGGCTGCTGCATGGAGGAAATTGTGGCGAACTGCGAAGGTGTGACCCACGCCCGCCGGATTACTCTCCGACGGGGGGAGGGGGGGGGGAGACCACCCTCGAAACCAACACGGTCATCCTGACCTTTGATTCGTGTCGCCCTCCAGCCACCGTTTGGGCATCGTACTTGGTCTTAGACGTGCGACCCTATATACCGAACCCTCTGCGCTGTTTCAAGTGTCAGAAGTTCGGACATAGTCAGTCGAGATGCCGACACGCAACCGTGTGTCCTCGTTGTGGCATCTTGAGAAGGAATGCAAGGCTAGTCCTTGTTGCTCCAATTGCCAAGGTCAGCACATAGCCTTTAGTAAGGATTGGCCGACTTGGATCCAAGAACGCGCAATCCATGAGTATAACGTACGAAATGGCTGCTCGTTTCAGGAGGCCCGCAAAGCTACCTGCCCGCCAGTTGTGACCCCGGTCCCTGGCCAGTCATACGCAAATGTAGCACGGGAAGCCACGAGGTCAGCAAGTCCTTCTACTGCTGACCTCCCAAAGCCAAAGGTCAACAGGCATGTCTCTGTGACTAAAACTAAAAAGGTTCTTCCTTCTACCGAGATACCTCTAACTAACCGCTTTGAGGTTCTAGAGGAGGACAGGGTGGATTCTCCCTCCGCCCTCTCTCCTCCCCCTCCCCCCTCCTCTATCACCTCCTTTTCTCCTTCTCCTTCTCCTTCTCCTTCTTTTTCTTCTTCTTCTTCTTCTTCTTCTTCTTCTTCTTCTTCTTCTTCTTCTTCTTTTTCTTCTTCTTCTTCTTCCACCTCACGCCTCATAACTCTGATGGAGCGTGAGGTGCACTCTCCCCCCTCTTCCCAGCTCCCTCCGTCTGATCCACTTCCCCCTCCCTCTCCAGCAGACATCCCCCTACCCCACCACCAACCAATGGAGGGCAATACAGCCCCGTGACCGGATGACATCCACAACCAGATCATTAGACGCCTACCCTCAGAAACACTTACACTCCTACTAGACATATACAACGACATGGGGCGGTCGCACTCCTTTCCGGAGTCTTGGCGTCTCGCCACTGTCATTCCAATACCCAAACCAAACAAAGACCACATACACCCATCCAATTACAGACCAATAGCACTAACGAGCTGTCTGTGCAAACTTATTGAAAACATGATCCACAAGCGACTCATGTGGTTTCTTGAGACGACGGGCTCGCTGAGCGGTCTCCAGTGCGGGTTCAGGAAAACTCGATCCACTCTGGATCACCTGTGTCCGTGGAGACCTTTATACGCGAGACGTTCGCTGAAGGAGGCCATATGATCGCCATCTTTTTCGACCTAGAAAAAGCCTTCGACACAACCTGGAAGTACAGCATTCTCAGAGACCTGCACGCACTCGGCATACGCGGTCACCTCCCTGCCTTCATCGGCAACTTCCTGAGGAACCGTTCCTTCCAGGTTCGTGTCGGATCCTCCCTTTCAGACCCCCACCAACAGGAGGAAGGAGTCCCACAGGGGAGCATCCTTTCTCCTCTCCTTTTCGAAATTAAAATAGATTCCATCGTAAAAACCCTCCAAAACAGCATAGACAGCTCGTTATACATTGACGACTTTTTTATATGCTGCCGTTTGAAAAATCCTCATCTGAGATCTATGGAAAGGCAGCTGCACTCGAAAAGTGGGCAAACAATAACGGTTTCAAGTTCTCCCCGTCAAAGACAGTTGCAGTACACTTCTGCCAAACAGACAGACGTGTGCTGCAGCCGGATTTGACACGATATGGGGAAAGGATTACCGTCCAGGACCAAGGTCGTTTCCTCGGCGTTATATTCGACAAAAAACTCACATTCATACCACACACCAACGACCTTCGTGTGAGGTGCCAGAAAGCGCTAAACGCTTTGAAAATTCTATCGCATCCGGAGTGGGACGGGGCCTCAAAACACCTTCTCCACTTGTACATCTCCCTTGTGCGGTCCAGGCTTGACTACGGCTGTCAAGTCTACGGATCGGCAAAATCACACATCCTGAAAATGCTAGACCCAGAGACTCCACACCAGAACATCCAGCGCACAATTGCATTTTTAAAACATAAACAAATTTCAAAACAAAAAAAAACTCACCAAACCCTTCGATCTCAGAATCCTTGAGGACCTCAAAAACTTACACTTAACAAGACATCGAACAATTTCTTTTCCCCGACCTCCCTCCGTGCCACCTCACCAAGGCAAAAGTAGATATACAACTGACCACACACTACAAAGAAAGCAAATACAAAAAACTAATCGATAAATACCCCGGTGCGGAGCTCATCTTCACGGATGGCTCCAAAAAAGACAATGAAGTGGGCGCCGCAGCCCTATCTTGCAACAGTACACACCAGAGGAGACTCCATCCTGAAGCCTCCATTTTCTCTGCGGAGGCCACTGCCATAGACATGGCACTGGACTCTGTAGAACATTGTCCTAACAAATATATATATATTTACACTGATTTTTAAACATTTAAACATTTTAAGATTTAACTACGGACTCGAGCCAGCCGTGCAGTAAACTGTTGTGAACAATACTAACTTGTGTTTCGCGCGCTCATATGACCTTATGCAGTTGCGAGCGCCGTAAAATCCTATACTACTAACTAAACAAATTTTGAGTTTAATTGAAAAAAGAAACTATTCGTAGACAAATTGTAATTAGATTTAAAATAAAATAAAATTCTCTCTCTATCTCTCTCTCTCTCTCTCTCTCTCTCTCTCTCTCTCCCTCTCCCCCTCTCTCTATGTGTGTGTGTGTGTGTGTGTGTGTGTGTGTGTGTGTG